GCCCAGACACCCTGCAGAGGAAACTCATTACGGCCGCTTGTATCCACGATCTCATTCTTTCGGTCACTACCCAAAGCTCTTGACCATAGATGAGCGTAGGAACATAGATCGAACAGTAAATTGAGAGCTTCACCAGTGGCTGCACAAATTCTCCTCACAAAATTCTGCTACATTTTTCCCTCATTTGTGAACAAGACCCCGAGATACTTAAACTCCTCCACTAGGGGGCAGGATCTCCTTCCCAACCCAGAGGATGTACTCTATCCTTTTCCGACTCAAGAGCATGGTCTCTGATTTGGAGGCAATTATTCTCATCCCCCGGCCCTGTGATGGACTTGCGACCTGTCCAGGGTGTACCCCGCCCCTCGCACTGTGACTGCTGGATATGGGCACCAGTGACCCACGCAACCCTGAAAAGGAAGAAGCGTGTACAGAAAATGGATGGATGGATGGAAGTTTAAGCAGGAGGAAATAGTAAAGTTGAATAATACCTTAAATATTATAATAGTAAATTTAACTCACCTAGGTATGTTCACATTGGTGAAAAAAAAAGATATATTTATATTTTTTACATTGATTAAAAATTTTAACTCAAGTTAGTTATCAGATTTTAGAATAACGCCTCAAAACTTTAAGGCAAGCAGCTGTAACAAGAATGCAAAACCATATTTTTCCCATCAAAGTGCCAACGATCTACAAGGGTTTCTACCTGATGTCAACTCCGGAGGGATCTCCTTTCTGACAGCGCTCGCAGAAGTAAGTCATCCTGCCGTTGTCTCCGAGACGACACACTGTGATGACATGAGAGCACTGGCCACACTGGGAACGCTTGTAGACTTTGTAATGTTTGTAAAGAGGAGAGCCAGTTTTGCGACACTATTGGAAACGAAGAAATATATATATAGAAAAACAGAACAAAAACATAAACAAAACTCCACTTTCTTACTTGGAGAGAAACGGTGTCGTTTTGTGCACTTTGATCATGTTTTCACTTTACAGCTTTTTCCATGCATTAATATTCCATGCAATATTGGAACCAATTAGGATATTTATTAAAATAAAAAAAGTCTAACCTTATAAAAAAGTAGAGTAAAGTCTCGAGTCATCTTCACCAAATGACGGATTTGCTCCTCGGTCAACTGCTGCACCTAGAAATTAAGCTGCGTTTAGGTATTGTTTAATGCCAGGGGATGAATACTTTTTTTTTCCTGTACGGCCTCTCATTTTAAATTACAGACAATCAATTCAGAATCAGCCAATCGATACCACACGCACATACACTTGAAAAACGACAGGCATGATTGAAGACAAAGGGCTTAAAAAGTGGAAAGAATAAATATCACATACTGTATAATCCCAGGACTCACAGCTAAGGCAACAAAGAGTTTATTCTAGATCTGACAGCATAAAAAAGTGATTCTTTTTTTTTAGGATACAAAAAAAGCTTGGTAATAGAGAGGAAGCTCATGAACATTCAGGGTCCCAAAAGAAGAGAAGGCCAAAAGTCTTAGATTAATGTTTTGCTTCAGTGTGCTAATACACTTTGAGAGGCCAGACAGCCCAGCAGAACAAAGCCTCAAGTAATAGTCGAGTATTAGAAACTGCAAGGGTAAGTTAATAGATTTATATAGAGACATATTCCGCCTAAGCTTTGTTGAGTTTTGGACCTTTCATTCAAACTGGAAAAAGGTAAATATCCTACAAATCAGRGAGAAAGTCCTTTGAGTCTCTATAMAGACCGATATGCATTCATGAGAACATTCTCATTTCCAAACTGCACAAAAGGGAAGGAAAATATGTGCCGCAATGCGCTTGTTTGTCTTATTTCTATTTCACCTTCCTCATTTCAATGCATCGCTCAGTAAGCTTCAACATTTTTTTTTCTCCCCGCGAGTGTTGTCTTGCATTTTTACCCTCGTTTTTTTTTTTATTTTTTATTCCTCTGCAGAGCACAATCCATCATCTTTTCTATACCTTCACGGCTGGGTGGAGGCCCGAGTCAAACAGGGCTTCGTTTTTAATGATGTTGCCGACTCCCGGCATGACGGCTTGGTCTAGGAGAACGTCGCAGAGCATCCTGCCACTTTGGCTCCTCACCGCCTCCTCGGAGCGGGAGAGGCTGAACCTGGAGGAGCATATATCCAGGCTCTCYGTCGCCCCGACCTTCTGCTCGCAGTCCTCCGTCAACCTGCGAGAACACAGCTGTCTAATGCTGGGAGAATTTCAAAAACATACGGCCACTGGTGTTTGCACCAGGTCAATTGGAGCTCTATTGAGGTTACGTGTTTCAAAACGGTTTCAGTTTCTTTATTATGGCACRGGACAGCATAGGTGACATTTTTAGACAGCAAAAATAAATGTCCGTCTGGCTACCACGCATTACACCAGGACACAACAAACCATGATCAAAACAAATGTTGAGCTAAAAAAAAGAGCATTTTTCATGCAACAATGGCCACTGTCTTCAGACAAAGCCTAATGTAGGACACACTCACTGAATCAGACTCATACCCCAAGGTGAACTCCTGTCACCTCAATCTATCTTGCCTATCCCGTTGTCCCCATTACCTTATTTCTACAGTGCTGTCAAAGAAGGCCACAATGTCGTTGGTAAGGTGTATTTCCAGCGTTGCTGCAAAGCCTGTTTTAACCTTCGTCTGAGTGGGATTTATCCGCATCGATCCATTCATGCCAAAGTGGACTCTGAAAGTTGTGTGTGAGAAAGACAGAATGAAAACAATATTTAGGCTTTCATTCATTAAGCTCCCATTAAAAAGTAGTCATTGTATGTAAACAAACTCTTATCTGCATATTACTCAATGAGTCTTAGAGTAAATATGTTCTAATACATCAAAATTGTCAGATGTCTCGCTCATAAAGAGATGCACGATATGTCGGCTGTAACATCGGTATCGGCCGATAAGTAAAAATGGGCCGATATTAACGTCTGATATTGATTTCCTACTTGTTAGCTTTGAGTTTCTGTTTTGGTAGGGGAAATGGTTTGTCGAGTGGTATCTGTTTGATCATGTGCAGCCAGGAATAACTGAAGTAGAGAGTCATGTCAGCAGTTTGGTCATTTTTTTTACGGTATCAACAAAAAGACTTGTGGATTTGTTAGGGCTGCAAGATATTAGAAAAACATGCGATGAGAGATAGCAGTGCTTAAAATTGCGATGACGATATGACTTGCGATAAATGAAAATATATGTATGTACTGTATATGTAGTGTTGATATCTTTCTGCTCTGGGTTCAAAGCCCAAAAAAAACAACATAAAAAATAATCATTTCCATTCCAGCCTGATTTTTTTTTCTTAATTGACCAAATACATGAAGGGCTCTATTTGATTGGTGAAATGTTTCAAGCTTCCATCTGAATGACAAAATGCATAAATGCAAATTTTTGAGTCAATCATTTATTGCAGTTTATGCAGTTGTTACGATGTGCATATTGCACAAGCTATTATCGCGATGACGATAAATTTTCTATATATTGTGCAGCCCTAGTATTTGTGTGTATATGTATATAAATACACTAACACTATATTGCCAAAAGTATTTGCTCAACTGCATTGACTCACATATGAGCTTCAGGTACATCGCATTCCTAATCCATAGGGTTCAATGGGACGCTGGTCCACCCATTACAGCTAGAACAGCTTCAACTCTTCTGGCTTCGAGGTGTGTTTTTGAGGATTTTTGACCATTCTTCTAGAAGCGCATTTGTGAGGTCACATGATGTTGGACAGAAGGCCTGGCTCTCGGTCTCCACTCTAATTCATACCAAAGGAGTTCTATGGGGCTGAGGTCAGGACTCTGTGCAAGCCAATCAAGTTCATCTGCACCAGACTCTGCCCCCCGTCGTTTGGATGGGTGAGCAAATACTTTTGGCAATATAGTGTACCTTGTGTGTTTGTTCAACTTCGGTTATCGGCCATAACACTAATAGCATCAGATATCGATATTGGCTGAAATTTTTGTATCAGTGCATCCCTAGTTCTTCGTAACGGTCGTCGTCGTCAACCGATTTTCAGTCACTTTCGCTGTTTCCGTAAGTAAACAAACAAGTGGTCGCTGGCAACTGTTCACATTTTTTTCCCAAAAATATGAGGAAAAAAGTGCAGATTTTGTTTCCTAATTAGGATTTTTTTTGACATTGCAAACAAGTACCTTTAACCAATTAGACCCGTTTAAAAATAGTTGCGATGTAAAATGGAGGTACTGATAAATTAACTAAACATGAGTACTTTAATGCTGTTGTAGCTTCTGTAACAATTCACATCTTTTGATGTATTTGTACAATGAAATTAATTGTTAATTAATTTTCCCGGCACAAACAGAGCAATGTTGTATATGCTGTTAAGTGCCAGGAGGACTGCGACCAGTTATACATCGGGGAAACTAAGCA